GTTCCAGTTTATAACAAATCCAGAATCACCAGATTTTGATCCACTGTATGTCACAGCTACTTTCCTTACTGTAACATACAGAAAGATATTAGAATCTCCTCAACAACTGCAAGCTGAAATGTTTCTTACATCTGAAATGAAGAAAGTCTCTGATATTCTGGATTGTGATGATGTTCATTCTGAAGAGAATAATGACCTAATTGATCTTAATACAACAGTTATTGAACCTCCAAGGAAACGCTTTAAGCATCTCTCAAGAGTTAGTACATTATTGGAGGAAAAGGAAAGCAGTGACGATACAAGAGCAAGTGCCAGAAAATCAGCAGAGGAGCTGGAAATTGAGAATTACTCTAATTACAAGCCTAACAAAGATGATCTCCAGTCAGACCCTTTTTCCTTTTGGATGAACCAAAAAACTGTGTATCCAAACCTGGCATTATAGTTGCTTGTGACATTCTAGCTACACCGGCTTCGACAGCACCAGTAGAAAGAATTTTCTCAGTTGCTGGACAAGCATCAAAAGGCATTAGGAATCGACTTGGTGATTATAACTTAGAACGAGAAGTTTTTTGCGTAAAAACAAGAAGTACTTAATAAATAATTAAAATTTGCACTATTTTTTTTTAATCTTAAATGTATGATTACTTAATTTTCTCTTTAGAGCTACATGTACATGTGTATAACAACTAAAATCAATTTGCATTTGGAACTAAAACTAAAAATATTTTAAACTTTTGAACAAGAACTAAAATACAACCAATTTTTTTAATTTTAGAACTAGAACTAAAATGGAACTAAAATAATTTTTAATTTTAGCACTAGAACTAAAAATATAGCTAAAAATATTTTAAATTTAGAATTAGAAACTAAAATAATTTTTACTTTTGGAACCAGAACTAAAACTAGAACTAAAAAATATTTTAAATTCAAAACTACAACTTAAACTAAACTATTAAAAATAATTTTTACTTTTGGAACTAGAACTAAAACTAGAACTAAAAATATTTTAAATTCGGACCTAGAACTAAAACTAGAACTCAAAATATTTTAAATTTAGAACTAGAACTTAAACTAGAACTAAAATGATTTTTACTTTTGGAACTGGAACTAAAACTAGAACTAAAATTATAATTTGTGCTAAAACAACACTAGTCAATATCCACCTTCTGAAAGTTGTAAAACCAACTGGTGCTGCTCTGTTTTTTAGACTTACAGTTAATTATTTTATACTATTTTAAAAAATTATTTCTCAATAACTATAATCTAGCACAATTATAATGTACATTAAACAATGTATGATCTGTGCTGCCATGGATGGCATCGGAACTATGCTGAGCCATAGATATT